TGTTCGCGAGGGACAAGGTGCGTGAACTCGAATCATTAAAAAAAGAGAGAGAGAGAGAGAGAGAGGGAGAAAAGACAATGTATATATAAGTTTATATGTATATATGTGCATGTATATATATAGAGAGAGAGACCCAAAACCTAAATACAAAGATATTCATTTCCCAAACTGTCAAATTTCTATAGGAAAATTGATATAAGCGTTATGTGGTTGGAAAAAATTTCAAAATTGATAAAGGGTTTGATCAAAAGGTTAATTTGGAGATTCTTTTTTTTTTTTAAAGGTTAGGCAGTGAGAAAAGACATGAAAATTGACAGTCCAGCTAATAAAAATGTGGGTATGTGTCGAATGTTAGGGCAACGAGTGACGCAATTCGACCATTAGACTTACATGTCGACATTTCACAGCTTTGGTCCCTAATATTGATTATGGTTATTTATATGGAATTCCATTACAAGAAAAAAAACAGAAGGGATAAATAAAATTTATATTTTTTTGGATATTTGGTTATTTTGAACCAACGATATAAACTAATCTCGAGATCGAAAATCAACTAAATAATTTAGAATATATACTTTCCAAATTTAAAGTTCGAATCCGGACCGGACGAAGAGTTTGGGTTCGTTTTATAGGTTTAACTAATCAAATTTGTAAATAAAATTTATGTTCCATAAGATTCTTCTACACACACAGGTGTCCGTACTGTGTTAATAATCTCACTATTCGACTCTTCGTATAATTAGTTTGTTATATATAAAATCCAGAACTGGTCTGGTTTTGATGAGGTCAACGATTAAACCGATGTATGGCATCGATATATTAAATTAATAAAACAATATATGTACATTAGAATTAAATAAAATTTACATAAAGCATCTCTATTGATGTATATAACATTTGATAAATATAAAACCGTAAATAATTCTTATGAAATTCAATAATACTCTTTTTCACTTATAAAACTAAAGAAAAAAAACAAAAAATATGAATAAGCCGGAAGTAACGCTCTAGAATCTCTCAACTCTCTCAACTCTCTCTCTCTCTCTCTCTCTCTCTCTCTCTCTATTAAATAATCTCTCCTGCGTCTTCTCTCCCTCTCCTACTTCACACTTGAGAGAGAGAGAGAGAGAGAGAGAGAGAATATGTTATTGGGAAAGCGTCCTGGCCCTCCGATCAGGAGAACGACCAGCATGGTCGGGATCACAGTCGATCCGACGGCCACGATGGAAGCCTCTCAGCCGTCCGATTACCCGGAGACGATCATGGCCGTTCATCAGAATCCGACGACGGCGATGAACCCTAGAAGCAGCCGCATAGCGCCGCGAAAGTACCAGAAGAGAAATCCTCCGGCTGCGGAAAATGCTAGTGATAATTTCCTCAGGACTTGTAGCCTCTGCAACCGCCACCTCCGCCACAATCGTGACATTTATATGTACAGGTATGCTATATATTTTCCTCTAATCATTTTGAAATTAATTAAAACTCAATATTTTGTCTGTTATGTGTTACTGTGATATTTTATTTAAATAAGCTTATAATGAAGTTGTAAATGAAATGAAATGTAAGAATTCGATGACTCGTCCATGTAGGGGGGACAAAGCATTTTGCAGCTTAGAGTGCAGAGAGAAGCAAATGATGCTGGATGAGAGAAAAGCGAAGAACGGCGTCGTATCATCCAAAAATGTCCTCCATATTTAGTTTTCATATATGTGTATGTAATTATGTATGCTTGTTTAATCAAATCCATAATGGAGGAAATTTATCTATTTTTCGCTTTTTATGAACAATCTTTTACGAATAATATAGTGTGTGTGTGTGTATAAATATGCATATATTTGTGTATATTTATGTAAATATACAATATAGCTTAGAGTGCATATAATTTGCGTCTAAACATACTTATATATATATATATATGTTTATCTCGATATTTGTTATTTGTTAAGGTGGGATATAATTAAGTTCAATTGGACTGACCCTATATCTGAAACTTTTTTTTAAAAAAATGATGGAATTACTTTGAGAAAGTCCTTTTTTTTTTAAATTAAAAAAAAATCGAATCTTGGGTGACGAAAACGAAAAGATTTTCTATGGCTTTTCAATGGCATTCCAGTTTGGCCGGTCAGATTCCCCAATATATAAACCCTACAAAGAAAGCAACTTTTCTTAAATTAATAACATAATAATCTTTAAATATATGCTCCTTTTACGTATTTTATACGACTTTCCATTTGCATTAATATGAAAGATACTATAGAATTTTTTTTTTATAAAGAAAGATACTATAGATTGTTATCACCATACTGCGATTTTGTATATATATTGTTATACAGTGTATATATACAGACATAAATTTAAATTAACCGTCAATTTTATTTATGAGATAAGTATCCGGTCAAACATTACAATCCCTCGAATACATTTCTAGAAAAAAAAAAAAGAAACCATAAATTAAACCAAAGCTCAATCTGCATAATTGCGATTATTTAATATTCTAGTTAATAATCCGTCACTTGTACTCCAAAATCATGTTGTTCTCGGGAGCCAAGCCAACGCATGCTCTCGGTATGTTCTGAAGCATCGCACGCTGTTTCGACAATGCGTTCACCACCGGCGTGCCGGGTGGGACCTGCACTCATCCAATTCACCGCTTGATTTAATCCCTTCGTTTCACCTCTAGCATCTGAAAATTCAAAAACGGCACGGTGTTTAGTTTGTTCTCACCAGAGGTGCCTTGGTGAGGTAACTCAGGATTGTGGCCACCGGGTGGAAAGAATGGGGTTTACCCTCCAAACCCATTAACCAAATCGATATTTAAACCACAAAGTTTTATGCTTTTATCATTAATCTCCATTAATCAGATGGGGATATACGATCATCTGTCACGATATCGATTCTTGACTATAGGAGAACAAGATCCAAGATTATAGGAGCAGCCAAGAGAGAATCCTCAATACAGATTCATATAAAAAAAATAAGGCGGAGGAAATTAATTAGCATCGTAATACGTTTATCCCAAGAAGAAAATAAAAAAATAATATTGCTGCTTATTTTATTTTTAATGTGAGCCCATTTCCAAATTTCATTCGCCTCTTCCAAAGAGCCCAAAGAAACCTGGGTTAGGCCCACAGTCTGGTTCATGTTGGATAATTGTTATGTTGGCTCTCGAAAGTCCATCTGGAAGGTATGTATGTATGTATGTATGTATGATTTTCGACGATCTTCTTAATTACACATATTGTTTGGCAAAAACCTGTTAAAATACATTATGTGAGGCATATAATTCTATTCGAACTTTTTTTTATAAAGAATTCTATTCGAACTTCGAATAACGAAATCCGTATTTTATATTATTCATGTTAAAGCAAGGAAATAGCATATTCAGCATCTAGAAGATTCAAATCAACAAATGGAAGTATGGAGCTGAATATGGAAAGCACAAAAGGAAAGAAACAACAAAAGGAAAGAAGACATTCACATCAATCAAGAAAAGGCAAGGCATATATTCGGATGATATTGAGAGAATCACTTGGAGAAGTTTATATATACCGAAGACCCCATTACAGAAAGGTCGTCGAGATCATTGCTATTGAGAAGCAGAGTCTGTGAC